TTCTTTCAGCATCTGGGCCCAATTACAAAAACCGCGGAGGCCAGACTGGAAAATCACTGTCCGAATCCCTTGGCTGATCGTTCAACTGATGCCGTGCTCATACTTTGCAACTGAAAAGATTTGGCGACTGCAGAGAATCGGCGAGTCGAGAGATTGCGCGATTAGAAAGTAAAGGTGCCGATCTGGCTATTGGGTAGAATCGCGATGCGGTGTTTTAGGCGGCTCGGCTATTTGGGCAATTGTGCATCCTTAGAAGTGTATGGGTATCGATCGGCGTCAGTCGCCGCTCTGGCAGGTTCGGCAAGCCAGCGCCACTTCGCCGATTCTCCCAAATCGCTAGCGACAGGCGCCGATCCATCTCTAGTGCGCAATCGCTATTAAATCGAGTGGCCCAAAATGATCATTCTCAGTCGCCAGATCGGTACCTATATTTTCCTAGCCGTACAGTCTTTCGAATGATCGATTCTCTGCAGTGTCAAACCTTCTCAATCGCAAAGTATGAACGCGGCCTGGTTATATAGGCTAATAAGGCTGGAACAGAAACCGCTGTGTTTTCATTATTAGCGCAGCTCTCCTTCTGAGGCGATGTATTGTGAACAGTACTATTTGGAAGACTCAGTAATTCTCTATCTCTTCTCATATGACCAGTGTGTATTGTGCCATAAACGCTGGCAAAAAGTCATTAACAGGTTGACGACATTATGAGCCACGGTGGCTCATAAATGAGTGGCCACGTGGGACAATATGAGCCACCGGTGGCACATAACTTCCTCCACCGTTGTTTTTTCTTTGCTATTCAATCGTCTGTGAAAGATGAATGTCCAACAGGACTGAGCGAGAAAATGTTGCTGCCTTTTTGAGAGATTACAAATTAAAAGTTGAAATTTTCACGACTGACTGCTGTGGCACAAACCTCCGAAGTAGTTGTTTGCGGATGAAACCTTGAATGTAGAGACCGCGTGCTATGATCATGAACGTGACATCGTATTTGTCGTTGGCGCCATATGGCGCCAGTAGGCGCCATTTTGGCGCTAGCAGTCTTTTTGGCACCGAATTCGATAGAAACCTCTACACCTGGGTTATTTGACATTCTCGCCGATATATCCTTCCTTTATAGTGTTGGCGCCAGATTGGCGCCGATGGTTTTCTTGGCACTGGATTCGGTATAAACTTCAACACCTAGATAATTTGACATCCTTATTCCGAATATATCCTTTTTGAGTAGCGGCGAAATATGGCGCCAGTGGGCCAATCTGCGAAATTCGATGAAAACGTGCGCACCGAAGAAGTCTGACTTCCTGATACGGAACATAACGTTCATTTCCTGCGCCAGCGTACGTCGGACTGTCTGGTAGTATGCGAAAAGGCTGAACACTCACAATAATGTGTGATGGCATGGATTTATTATAAACGTGAAAAAGCGAAAATGCAAAAAAAAGCCACAGAGGCAAAAGTCCGTGAAACAAGGGCGTGATCATGGGAAGTGGGGCTCAAGAAGGTATATCTAGTGTGGTCAAGGTTGGTAGGAATAGCAGCCACTGCAGGTTTGCCTAATCGTTTCGCAAAATTTGACATAGCGGCAAAAAAGTGGTCGAAGGGACAATATGAGCCACCGGTGGCTCATAGCGGATGCATGCGAAAACACGCCATTGTCTCACGCGGCGGCATAGTTGTATTTCACCTTCTATTCGAAAGCGGCGCTGGTGTAGCAAAGGAGTGGGCGGGGG